TAATAATGCTCAAATAATCCTTAAGAGGCTAATAGGCTCTGGTAAATGACGTTAGATGATAGTATTTTTCTTTTTTAATGGATCAAATAAAGAAAAGGTTTCTTGATATTGATAACATCTGAAACGCGCTTCGAAAAGGAATTTTGCCTATTGTTCTTGGCTGAATTGAAATTCTAATCAGATTCCGAAAAAATATGAAGTTAGTTTTGATGTCATTTAAAAGCAATGCGTTGATATGTTGCTTCAGAGACATTTACACTTTCCTCTGGCGCATTATAGATTAAACATATATATGCATACAGTCATATATATATATATATATATATATATATATATATATATATATATACATGCATATATATATATATATATATATATATATATATATATACACACACACATATATATACATATATACATGCATATATATATATATATATATATATATATATATATATATATATATATATATATATATATATATATATATATATATATATATATATATGAGATTAAATTAAGGTAAGTAAAAGATTGTAACTTAGGTGATTGATGTTACCTTCAGCATCCTGACGCCAGAATTTCGTAAGTGTACGCATTCGTCCACAATTTCAATTTACTTTATACACACACACACACATATATATATATATATATATATATATATATATATATATATATATATATATATATATATATATATATATAATACATAAAAGGTTAATGGTCAGATTTGAATCAGATCAGGAAACAACAGTATTATAAAGCGCTCAATACACGTGTGGAAAAAATAAAATAAAAGTAAAGATAAGGTGTAGAGCTTCTAACTTTAAAAATCAGGAGGTCATTTGAATACGCGAACTTGGTTTCAACGTTACTGTATCTTCAGGTGAATTTTATCTAAATTTTTTATAATATCTTTTGACAAAATCACCTGAGGATACCGTAAGATAGCGGTTTCAACTGACCTCCTGATTCAATATATATATATATATATATATATATATATATATATATATATATATATATATATATATATATATATATATATATGCTCACACCTCGTGAACGACTTTCATGCACAACGCAATCTTCGAGTGTCGAATTCAAAATGACTGTTTTCCGGTATGAATCAATTTATGTCTGACGATCACGACGCTGATGTGGTGACATTTGATGTGAAAGAACATTAATAGTGAAACTTAAAAATAAGTGGGAGAAAAGAATTAAGGATCTTCTCCATTCCCCCCCCATGTACGTTGATATATCTTTTCAAAAATCGCTCAGCGCCGTGTTCGTTGATTCCGTCACGTCCTGCAACGACCTAATGGCCATCCTATCAGAGTCATCTCGCAGTTCGACATACCACCTGAAGACTGCCAACGATATCGCGATAGACTATGCAGTTGCTGGATTGACCTCGTCAGCCAGGACCTCCAGCAGATTAATGTAGTGTTGAAGGATGTTCCGACACTCTACCAAGATCGTGACAGATGGAAGGGCAATGTGGCTTCGGTGGGCTCAAGGTTTAGGATAAGGAGAGTCAGTGACGGATTAGCCAGCGACTCTACTCGCCTGTTGGCAAATGGGGCCGTAATGGAGTGGATCCCCTAAATATAATAACAATGCATCAAAGAATTAAATACTGACAACTGCTTTACAAATAAAAGGAATTTTAACATTATAAGTTACACTATCAGTTACCAAAGTCCAATGTGAGATGACATTTTCAAAACTAAAGATCATAAAGACAAGGTTAAGAATTTCACTACTGGAGAATTCTGAATTTTATGTGATGCTATCCATGGAAAAGGAATATTTAGATGAATTTCATGTAGAAATAATTATTCTCGCAATCTCGTGAACACAAACGATTTCTCTTAATAAAGTCAACTGTATCCAATGCTTTATTTGTCATGCAATGCATTATTTGGACTATATATTTATGTGTAAATTTGGCAGTAAACTATTTAAAAATATCAAAAAATTACTTAAAATAAATAAATAATTCAATTATAACTTTTGGTATTTACATTTGGTGTCTGTTACCAGAAATATGTACAATACATGTACACTGTAATTACTAACAAATACATATTTTCCAAAACAAAATTAATCGTACCCTTTATCCATATGTATTTTTGAAAACTTTATTTATTCGTTATAACAATTAAATGGTTACATGACAGTTGTTGGTGGCAAACTTCTGGCAACCAATATTTTTATATCCTGTCCGCCAATGAACAGATTACTTGCCTTACTTGTTCTTTTTGAATTATCCACTGTTCAAGGCCTGCTCGAAACGTTCTTCAAAGATAGAATAATATTTGGTGCGTTTAAATTCAGAACTTGACTAGAAAAAATATTTAGGAACAAATGATTGTTCAACACTTGATTTCGGGCCATGGACACTGTTGAGGGGTCCACACCTTTTTACACAAATGGACTCACCCAGTATATACATATACTACAGCTACGGGAAGAACCGAGAGTAAGGCGAGAGCAAGACCGAGGACTCGAGTCGAGTCGAGTCGAATCGAGTCCAGAGTGACAGAGTAAAAGGTTGTAGGTAACCAGAAGAGTGAGGATGAGGTAACAGCGTTGTAGGAGTCACAGTGAGCGAGCAAATAGACTCAGTAAGAAGTCATACAGCGATACTTCAATACCAAAGATTATATATATATATATATATATATATATATATATATATATATATATATATATATATATTGCTACTAACACGTATTACTGGAAATACTAACCTGTTTGTATTATTACGTCAATACATTATTTTCATATATTCATTCCTGGGTTTGTTATTTATCGGTAGCAGATTTCAACCCTGAATCCACAAGAGACACCTATATGGGCATTACATAATATTACTTATTTTAAAGCAATATCTCGATTACATATTTATAACCATAGACAGGTCGACCTGGCCGTAGAGCATTGTCCAGTATGATCACGTACGAAACGTGAATCATTTTTGATATCTTTTGAATTTTAGTTATTTCTTAATGTACCTTAATGTAAAACAATAATAATATTCTGAAAATGCTTATTATTTCTGTCTTTTGCAATGTTAAAATTGGTAAAAAATTACAATTTCAATATTTTTAAATGAGTTTTAATAATTCGACAAGAATATCTGTCTATATTTCTGAGATGAGTTATTATCTACACTATTTATATTGTTCGGACTATCATCCTCATCTTTGTTGTCATATTTATCATAACGTTTCTGCCGTTGTACGCTCCGGCCTTCTTCAGGTGTTTGGAATGTCGAACTGAACCCTTTAATTCGCTCGCTGTGGTAGACTGTTCTAGTTCTACGTCTAATGGGTGTCATTTATCAGTTATCTCTTGATAATTCACATCTCCAATTCCTTCACCGCCTTAATAAGGTATTGAACTCACACTCTTTGGGTCCTGTCACTGGATCTAATCAACGCCTTTATCCACTGTGCCAAGTGCCCTTGAGGAAACGGCCGAAACGTTGTGATAAACATGGCGACAAAGATGAGGACAATAGTCAGAATAATGTAAATAGTGTATATGCTTGTTGTAAGAATTTCCAAAACAGTGAATTTCTTACATCAAAAAGACGCTAAATTTTCTAATACTAATGCTTGGCCCACCCACTAACACAAGAATGACATTATTTTTAACCGGAATTTTAAATATGCTAGAGAGGATTTAATGTTTTAATAAAATAATAAAAAACAATTTGCTATTTTGTGTCAATAATAACATAAACATTTTGGCTATAAAACTCATTAGGTCCTTTCACTGGATCTAACTAACGCCTTTATCTACTTTGCCATGTGTCTTTGTCAAGGCAACAAAGATGAGGATGATAGTCCGAACAATGTAAATAGTCGACAAGAATAGTTATTTTCTCGACGTTAGTTAAAGCTAAACCCTCCTCATGCCATCTATCGAAATAGTAAGGTTACACAAAGGATAAATTTTATGAAAATCATGGGTTCGCTGACATTTCTAGAAGCCAAGTGAAATTTCTTTAAAAAGTTACAAGGAAAGAAAGAAAGAAAAAGAAAGAAAAAAGTAAAAGAAAGAAAAAGGTAGAAACAATGGAGAAATTATTAAATGTGTACAAAATTGTCATTCGTAAAACTGATTATAATCTGTGTATGATGTTTTTACATTTCAAAAAATATAGTTGGAAATTCTTAATCATAGATATGGATGATAAAAATTATATGCGTAGGAAAAATAAAGAAAGATTGTGTAAAAAAAAGAAAGTAATAAATCGAAAACAAGAAAGAAAAAAGAAAAGAAAAGAAAAACAACAGAAAATGAAGAAGTAAGAAAGAAAGGGAGAATAAAAAAAATACAAGTATGAATAAAAAAGAAAGAAAGGGAGAAAGTAACGAATCTAAAGAAATAAAGAAATAGACAGAAGGCATTACGAAATAATGAAAGAATGAATGAATGAAAGAAAGAAAAAAAAGAAAAAAAAGAAGAGCTCCAATTCTCGCAAGAAGAAAGAAATGAACTGAAAGAAAATAAAAAAGAAAGAATGAAAGAAATCCCGTTCATGATAAATAGAAAAACACCTTCATTAAATATAAATAATGAATGAATGAATGACGTAATGAATGAAATATAACGAATGATTAATAATTATTAGGTTTCATACGAAAAGGAAGAAAGCACTTCACGAAATAAAATAAAAAAAAAACTACGTGTATTAATAATCAAAGAAAGAAAGAAAGAAAGAAAGAAAGAAAGAAAGAAAAAGACAAACGAACAAAGCATAGTATAAACTAAGAAATATTGAATTAAGAAAGAAAGAAAAGAAAAGAAAAGATAAGAAAAGAAAAGACAGAAGGGAAGGATGGAGGAAAGGGAGAAAAGAAAGAATGAAGTAAGATAGGGACGAAAGAGGGGAGAAAGAGACAAAAGAAAGAAAGAAAGAAAGAAACAAACAAACAAACAAACAAACAAACAAAAAGACAAACGAACAAGGCATAGTATTAACTAAGAAACATTGAAGAAAGAAAGAAAGAAAGAAAGAAAGAAAGAAAGAAAGAAAGAAAGAACGCAGTAAGAAAGGGACGAAAGTAGGAAGGATGGAAGAAAATGACGAAAGAAAAAAGGAAGGAATAAAGGGAGGAATGAAAGAAGAGAGAGACGAAAGAAGAGACGAAGTAGAAAGGGGCGAAAGAAGAAAGGAAGGATGAAAGTGACGAAAAAAAAAAAAAAAAAAGAAGGAAGGCAGAAAGGGACTAAAAAAAGACAGAAGGAAGTAATGGACTAGAGAAAGAAGAAAGGAAGACAAAAAGACAAACCAATAAAACATAGTATTAACTAAGAAATACTTGTTTTAAGAAAGAAAGAAAGAAAGAAAAGAAAGAAAGAAAGAAAGAAAGAAAAGAAAAGAAAAGAAAGAAGAAAAGAACAAAAAGGATGGAAGAAAAGAAAGAAAAAAAGGAAAAAAGAAAGAAAGAAAGGGACGAATGAAGAAAGAAACGAAAAAAGAAAGAAGAAAGAAAAAAAGACGAAAGAAGAAAAGAACAAAAAAAGAAAGAAAGAAAAGAAAGAAAAAGAAAAAAGAAAGAAAGAAAGAAAGAAAAAAGAAAGAAAAGAAAGAGAGATGAAAGAAGAAAGAAAAGAAAGAGACGAAAGAAGGAACGAAGTAAGAAAGGGGGAAAGCAGGAAGGAAGGAAGGAAGGAAGGAAGGAAGGAAGGAAGGAAGAAAGTGAAAAAAAGGATGAAAGGGCATAAAGAAAGACTGAATTAAAAAAGGGACTAAAGAAAGAAGGAAAGAAACATGAAAATGACGAAAGAACGAAGGAGGCCGATCGTTAATATAATGAAACTCCACGCATTACAATAAAAAGAAAGAACATATAAGTTTCATAGAACAATAAATAAATAAAATAGAAATAAGATTTAAAAAAATCCAAATAAATAAATGCAGGTGCGGACATTACGAAAATTTTCCAGAATCTTGGCTGCCATTTAAACCTTAATTAGATTAAGTGATCAAAAGGAAGAACCCAGTTGAATTGTTCGTGTGTGAACGACATACATTTGAAAAGGCAAAATAACTTTGAGTTTTTCTTTGTCATATTTCATTTCCGAAAATCTTTTTAATTTCTTCCGTTTAATTTCGTTCCCTTTCGGGATACTGTACACATTAAGCGGCAAGATACTCAGCCATATGCCGCATCGTTGCCTTTGCGATAGTCATTAAATACGTCATTAGAATTATTAATTCGAGTCACCTGAGATGCCTCAATGTCCTTTGTAATTAATTAAACACTTTTTTGTTGGCACGCTCACTGTTTTTGGGCTTCTTTTTTCTCTTTTTTTTTTTTTTGTTAATTCTGAAAGATCAATTACATGCACCACACCCTCAGGACAACGGAGTTTTAAACACCAAATGTTCAGCACATGGGGTTAAGTTATTTTTGTTTTTTATAAGTTGCCCTTTTTGAAATAATAAAGACGAAAGTAGGATGTGCTATGTTGTGTCATAGATATCGACTCGGAATGAGAAATCGGAGAGCTGAGTTCGAATTCCAGTCGGGTTCGTTATATTCACTTACGCGCAAATACCCTTTGGAAAGGTATGAAGCTAATCCTTCTCCTCTAACTATGGGTTGAATAGCGGGACAGATTGCGTCATTTAGCCTTGGTTGGCCATCAGTCTACTGCAGAAAGAAACGACAAACTACTCCAGGAAAATTTTCTGCCTACTCAGTCATTAATCGAAAGAGACGTGATCACCCAAACGTGTGTCACAAATGACACTTATTCATTGCCGTGTCCCCTAGGCGATGTGTCTCCACAGCTTCCTGTGCCTTGTAGCTCTTAAACTTGGTCCTGTTCCGTCATCAGTTTACTCAACCTCATTAAGTATTTAATGCGTTGTCGTAATCCGTCACTCTTGCCTTCTATGGAGGCCATTTTTTTTTTTTTTGGTTTTGTCTTGGAATATTTTGTGGGCCTTTTTTTTTTTTAGAATTGAATATAAAATAATTAGAGTAATGGAGAAGTTCGAAAGTGTTTGCAATGTATTTCTCTTTTTTCTGGAAATAATACGCGCTTGATATTCTTAGAGATCTTAAATAGGATCCAATGATTATGCCGAATTTTATTGTGTTCTTATGATGGGAGCAGAAATTTAATACGTCGTTTTTATGGATTGATTTCCAGTGGACACTGAGTTTTAAACTTTTGTTAATACGGTGTATCTTGATATCTAGGAAGGGCAATGAATAACGTCCTTTCATTTCGTATGTAAAGTCTATTATTGGATTCGATTTTGTTTAGTTGATCTACTAGGTCAGATAAATCAAGAGGATATATAAGTAGAAAATCATCAATATAACGAAAGTATATTGATGATTTTGAAAGTATATTGTTTGGGTAATATGTTTTGCAAAGGACCGCATTCAAGAAATTCTAAGAAGATACATGCCATCACTCCATTGAAAGGCGATCCTATTGGTAATCCAAATAATAATAGTCTGCCGTCTCATTACCAATCAATAGTACCCAATCAATAATGATTGTTACAAACAAAAATTTGGATGGAGACTATTGTCAGCTCAGCAGATCGTCGTTCCAACGACTCGTTCCGAGGTTAAGGCTGAAATCTCCCCCCTCCAAAAAAAAAAAAAGGCAAAGCCAATTATTTGGAGAACAATTATTTTATTCCAGATAAACGTCCGAGGGTGGATGAACACATTAGAGTTAAAAGCAACTATGGATTAAATATCCTCACCAACCTTCAATTGGCAAAAGATGATGAGTAAGGCTAAACCCCTAAAGATAAAATAAATCAGCGAGGGGTTCTTCCAACAAGTGTGAGTAGATATAACGCATTTGGAAGTTCTACTATTTAATCCATAGATGGGTGGAAAGAGATGAATCCATACATTTCACATGCGTATTTGCGTGAAATTCGAACTCGGTTCTCCGTTTTCTCATTCATAGTCGCTATCCTGTACACCACTCGCACATACTAACGCTATGCCAATAGATAATGACTAATGCTTGACGTAAAGCTTTTAAACCTGTAAGGTTAAGGAGACCTTTGACGTGGTTGTCTCTTCCACAGTGTTGTAACTATAGGGCATCCAGGTTTCCTCTCCTCTGTTCGCTATTTTTAAAACTAATTCATTGTTCTTAGATCTAGAATAGATGGAAGCCAGAGTACGAATGCTGGTACCATTACTGAAGGGCTGAATGATCTTTTCCTCCCACCATTGCTCAGTTGGGAAGATAGTGAAGCTGATGCATAACGATTTAAAACTTTTTTTGCTTTCTAACTGAATAAATCAAAGGGTTTTTTTTCTGTTATTCTTACGACAAATGGCGTCAAAATGGCTAAACGTCTTATCTGAAAATCTAGAAAAGAAACTCAATTTAGTGGATTTTAGATATTAAACATTTTCGGGATGGACAATTATCCCATAAATGTGAGACGTTTTGGACAGTTTTGCTGTTACACCAGGTATATATGCCTCTCTCAGAGTTTCGCATGATTTATAGCAGTGTGTAGCGTGTGGAAAAGATGAATCCATACATTTCACATGCGTATTTGTGTAAAATTCGATCTCAGTTCTCCGATTTCTCATTCATAGTCGCTATCCTGTACACCACCCGCACATACTAAGGATATGCCAATAGATAATAACTAATGCTTAACGTAAAGCTTTTAAATCTTTAGGCTTAAGGGGAGTTGTCACGCGGGTGTCTCTTCCACAATGTTGTAATTATAGGGAAAAGCTGTATCTTAGGAATCTTTTCTTCTTTCATTTGGAATATGGGAGAATTGGGGGTTATTTGACTTCGCGGAAAATAGCAGGGCGTTTCCTAACAGTAAACATCTGATCTGGTAGAATTAAAGAATGGAGCGACATCGCGTCTGTGTGGAACGAGGCTGCAGTGTGGAAAATGATTCTTCTTCAACAAAAGCTGCAGAAACGATTTTGAAGACTGGAAACTCTAGAAAAGGAAGAATGAGCAGTTCTACCCATATTTGCTAGCTATAATACCCCACAAAATATAAAAAGAAGAAAAAAATGTAATTTCAATCATTATCAATAAGTTCTATGCTAATTGTTGCTTCTATCGGAATTCGTGCTTGTGGAACTCTCTTCCGGCTTCTTGCTTTCCAGTAAACTTTGATCTTCAACAATTTAAATATAATGTCAATCGTTATTAGCTGTCTTAATTCTTGTTCTCTATCCTTAATAGTATTTTTCTCAAATTCTCAAACACTTAGTAACCACATGCATCTTAGTAGCTTTATTGCCTTGCTTGGGTTGAAAAATGCAGAAACGATTTTGAAGACTGGAAACATTATAAAAGCAAGATAGAGCAAGATAGAGCACTTCTAACCAGATTTGCTAGCTATAATACCCCACTAAATATAAAATGAAAACAGAAGAAATCACGTACTTATCTGCAATTTTATTGGCCTTGACCTGACATCGACGTCTTCTGCGACGTTCCCACATCCGTAATGTAACTCTTCTGTGCCGTTTCTATAAATACTTTCATGGTAATTCTTCTGATGAATTTTCTTCTATGGCACCAAGACGTCATGAATTTAAGCGGAATACTAGATTTAAAGCAATGTTACATCATTTTACAGTTGAAATGGCTAAATGTTACCGTACGTTCCATGCTAATAGTTTATTCTATCGCACTTCGTGCTTGTGGAACTCTCTTCCGGCCTCTTGCTTTCCAGTAAACTTTGATCTTCAACAATTTAAATGTAATGTCAAACGCTATCAACTGTCTAAATTCTTGTTCTCTATCCTTAATAGTATTTTTCACAAATTCTCAAACGCATAATAACCATATGCATCTTAGTGGCTTTATTGCCTTGCTTGGGTTGAAATGATTACAAAAAATTCCCACAGCGATAAAATGACCGTACAATATTTCGATCATCTTTAGCAATGGCTATCCTTTACTAATCTACACCCCTGTGCAAATCATTTGAAATAAAACGATTAATTCTATTATTATTTACTATTTTTCGTATTTTTCCAATGAAACCTAACCAAGTGCACATGTTAGTACTTCGTATGTCCACTCCACGAAGCCATCCATTGCAGATTGACCAAACATTCTCAAGTGGATTTAAATCAGGAGACTACTTTGATTTGCTCAATGGCAAAGCTTACCAGTTTATTCGTGCAGCATTACAATTTTCGTACGCTCCCTTGGAATTACGTCCATCGCAGACAATGACCGTAGGACAACTAATCGACAGTGGAGATAGTAGTGTTTGGGCGTGATAAAAATCTGCTGTAATCACGGCTGATGCAATATTTTTCAAAGCCAAACAAATTTCATCATACACCCAAGAAATAGTTTCCTATTACTACACATCTCTACAAATGACCTAATCTGAGGATAAATAGAAATCGTCAAAACCCTGTCGTTCCAGTAGGTCTAAAACTGACCGTTTGGTGAAAGAAAGGAAAGTGGAGCGGGTATTTTAAATTAATTTGCACAAGAATATATGTTTGCAAAAACAGCCTGTGTCAGACACAATCCTACGCAGTTGTCAAATAGAGAGATTTGTCCTTCGAAATATGAGGGTAGCTAAAACTAACGAATCCTTTTTGATATTTGGGGTTTGTTTGTTGTAATACCCTTGTTTGGTTGTTTAATTTCTCTTCTGCCTGGATTGGTTAGGCGATGTCTTCAAGCTATGAAATGAAGATTAATTACCGAAGAGACAGGAACAACTAAATCGACCTG